CACGAAGACCTCCTTCCAAGGTTCCGAATCCTCATCGATATCCACAGCCGGATCGCAGGAGGAATCTCTCCCCTTCGACGTGAACGACGCCGGTGAGATGCTCCTGTTCGACATGCTCATCGAGTCCGCCATGACCACGAAGACGTCGACGGGCAAAGAGGCGGAGTCGAAGGGCCCGACGGCGAGCGGGAAGAGCTACCGAGGGGTGCGGAGGCGGCCGTGGGGCAAGTTCGCGGCTGAGATCAGGGACTCGACGCGGCAGGGGGTGCGGGTGTGGCTGGGCACGTTCGACAGCGCGGAGGCCGCCGCCCTGGCCTACGACCAGGCGGCGCTGTCGATGAGGGGGGCGACGGCGGTGCTCAACTTTCCGGCGGAGCGCGTGCGGGAGTCGCTGCGGGGGCTGGAGCTGGCGAAGGACGGGTGCTCCCCGGTGGTGGCGCTGAAGAAGAAGCACTGCATGAGGAGGAGGAGGAAGAGAAAGGTGAGGGAGTCGAGTGGGGAGGAGGGCGTAGTGGAATTAGAGGACTTGGGAGTGGAGTTCTTGGAGGACCTCTTGGGGCTTTCAGGGCTTGCGAGTCAGTGATGACAAGCTCATAGTTTTGCCCAACCTAATGATATTTTAAATATATTAATATGGATATTAAGTTGACTGTCAATTAGATTTACTGTAATGGACACATGTGCAAGTTTTTGTATAGTTTTGTTAAGATATATGCACACAAAACTTAGGTTCAAAGATAGAAGAAATATGAAAAACACTAACTTTGGAAACTATTTCTTAGTATTTCCCTCTTAGTCAAAGTAGAGTGACACTCTCATGTGGTCCTAAAGGTGGCCATAGATTTTCTTTATCCTACTTTATATTTCAGATCCATTGAACCTTTGCTAGGGTTCATCACAAGGGGTCCATCAGCAGAATGACTTCCATCCAATCCAAACTATGGGACTGAAACATAAGACTAAGGTCATTGGGGGAAAGGCCAATCCACTGCATCTGTTACATGCATAGTAGATTGATTGGCTTGGTGTCTGGAAGCCAAGAGAAGATATTGTTATTAAACTGGATGAATTGGCTGTGATGTGTCCTCTTCCCCACTCTAGTCTATTGCTACCCTATGGTTAAGGGAAAAGAATAAAGTAAGCAATGGGGAGAGTCCAAATTGGCAAGACAAATAATAAAAATGTTCATCAAGCCTGTTCAAAGATATCTTCCAGTTGTTGATCTCCAAACACACAAGAGTTATGAAAAAGATCCACTTGCATTTGCATCTGAACAGGAGCCAGGAGAGTCTTGTCATTCAATTGGACACCTCTACTGTCATCTGAACATACAGGTCCAGCTATTCTGTGACAACTTAGGATCAAAATGGAAGTGCTCTCTCTCTCTCTCTCTCTCTCTCCTGTGATTTATATTAACATTGGCTCACATGCATGGCATTCTTGCAGTCAAACTTAAGCAGAACTGATTTGACAATGAAATGTGTGTGGTGAAATTGAAGAGAATCTACAGGTGGACATGCTCAACTTGAACAAAATAACATGGGCTACATTGCAATTTATATGACTTGGACCTGTGTGTCGGTGTCATTGTTCATGAACAGCACCTTTATTATTGACCTACCAAGAGGATTCATGACTCATGTCTAGGTCAATAAAAAGGTGCTTTGGCAACTGTCTTCCTCTTACATGCTTTCAAAAATGGAAGATGAATCATGTGAGTTACATAGATGAGTTCATGTCCACCTTTCATGTGGTTCTAGAAGGTCAGACTTATTATTTGATCCATGAACTGAATTCTGGAAGCTTCTAGATACTAGAACTGGCATGATCAAGATGCATGCCTATTTTCTCATGTGTTTAAGTAGCCTAGAACAACATTATGAGTCCAATAATAATAAGAAAAAAACAATCATCAATGTTCTAATACTTTGGTGTGCATACCAAAAAACTTTTCTGTTGGAGCTTGAAAGATTATGATCCAGATTGAGATATGTTCATAATTTTGTACATTTCCCAATTTGCGGTGCGTATCAAAATTGATTGTGGCTCATATGAACAAAACTAGTGAAAGATTTGTATGACTCAATGCTTTTGGAAAGTCACCATACAGAAGAAGGCAATGCAGCGGAAAACTATGCCATAAACAGCTAGAACAATTATACACAAACCCCAGTCACCAATATTGTATCCATTTTTGATAAGTGAACCGCATCGAGTTACCAGCCATACTCCAGAATACCTGCAACAGAAAGTTTAGTGTCACGGAAGCTATCGGTCAGACATCATTGGCTAGTGGCAAAGCAAGCTGATTGCCATATTTATAGATTTCTTTTGTGTTGATGTTCTTTCTTTTCTTATGGGATATGACGATATAAATAAAAATATATTAACAAGTCAGATAAAAGGCACAGTATATGCCACTCATGCACTAGGGATTCTAGTTCATGTTCATGAGAAAAATCCCTACCTTCAAATTCATTTTAGCAAGACAAATATCATAATCGATAATATCCCAAAAAATAGCACATTGAGGGAAAAGCAAGAATCATGAATCTAGGCATCTAAAGCCATTATTAGCACAGTACACAGATGTCAGCAAAATGGGGGTGCCAATTAGTGCCACACAGTCATGCATAGATACAGAAAAATGATGCAAACCAATTACATGATCAATATTTGGACCTAGCTTTACTTTATGCATGAGATCAATCAATGACTTGAGAGAAGGTTGAGAAAAGAGATCAAGATACTGGAATTGGATGCATAAAGCCAGCTGTCACAAAGAAAAAATAAAAACACAATAGAAGAGATTTAGTGGGTTATATAAATTTGAGCATGATACAAGGACCAAATGCAGAATTTTGTAAATATTTGTACATCGAGAGGTAACTGGTTGTACCAAACATTAAGAAAAGATTAAACACTGTTGCAAGTTAATATATTTATTATTAAAGATAGCTGCTCAGCAGTCATTTTTTATTTCATGTTTGAATAGGTTTTCTAGGCAATGCTTATTTACAGTTGTTGCTATCTTGTTTTTATGGTGCTCTGCATATGTGTACAATGTTCCAATCTAGTTGGCATACAACAGCAAGAAATCACTCGTACGCTTCATGAACTTATATCTAGAGGATTGTTTAAGCATACCTTTCAGCATTCGCAATAACAAATGCTTCCAGGGCCCACTTTGTGTAGCATAAATTTGCCAGGAATTTTGAAGTTTTCTGCTGAGTTGCCAGGAGAGTTAAGACAACAGGTAGTAGCACAGACCACTGCAGCATGAAACATAACAATTAGGCAAAATTATACAAACAACAGAAAACCAAGCCAACAGGGATCATGAAGGCTTATGATCTAAATAGACAGGAAGGTGATCAATTCTGAAATGGAACACACCAGTTGTGCTGAACCTGGCTGGAAGAAGATTGCAAAAGCATACCCAATTCCAGTCACACAATAAACAAGTGCCACTAAGATGATGTAGTTGTCTAGAATTGATGACCTTGGATTGTTGAAGAAGTAGAACATAGAAAGATAAACAATTGGTTTGATTATTGTAGTGAAATGATCAATTGTATCTCTTGACAGAAAATAAGCCAGTGAACTCATGCCAGATGCTCTTTCTCTCCAATAATGCAACCTTTCAAGTGAGAACGATCTCAATGCTCCAATCTTGCACAAGAGAGCTGCAATATAACATCAATATAACTGTAAACAAGTTTTATAGGTGTGCTATATGCATCATATTACACAAGATAACATTGACAAATACCAACTAGTTCATGAAATTTATCCTTGATTTTGGTCTTAACGAATTGAAAGACATATTGGGTAATGTGAAGCACACATTTATTCACTATGAAGACCAGAATCATTTGACTAAACATATCAGTTCGTTTAGTAAGACAAAAGAACTACCAAGATATTCCATAATAGTGAATCCTCTGACAGTAATTTAACATATACAATGAATATCACATTTTAAAGTAAGGTTGTAGAGTTCTAAGAAAATTAGCCAGGGAAATTATATCTTTGACTATAACTTACAGAAGTATAATCAAAGAGTTCTAATGTAAAGAATTGTAAGAATAATTTAAACAGCAAAATAAAGCACTAGATAACATTATAATTATTTCCTGTGCGACGAACAACCATTATAGTACATGTAAAAGAAAATTGGGCCTCCATTGAACTTGTGCACAACTCAAAGAAGCAATGATAGATAAGATCTCACCATATGTTGGAAATAATGATAGATAAGATCTCTTTTCACTGGGTACACCCTAAGATCTCTTTTCAATAATCATTTTGATATTTAACCAAATTGATTTATCTGATTACATTGGCTATCCAACTCGAAATACACTAATATATCCTTTATTAGGAAAGGATCATTATTATAGTTAAGGATCTGAAGTATCAGGAAGATATCAAATTTAGTATTTATGCAACTTCAATGCATAAACTTTACTTCTGTTCCACTTTAATTTGGTCCTTGGACTTTATGCCCTTTTCTAAAACTCCAATTATCTTTACTTACTTTTCCATTTCTGTCAACTGTAACATAAATTATGCTTTTCTCTCAAAAAGCACTAAACTGGAACCAAACAGACATGGATAATCTAATCACCACCACCTTCATCTTTTTAAAAATGTGACTATGAACACCATGTCAAGTAAGCAAATAGTAAATTTGATTTTCTACCAATTGTTTGTTCTGGTATGAACTTTATCTCTCAGAGAAAACAAAATGAATTGAATTGATAGCAATCATCATATACATTAACATCTAGATTTAGGAATAATTTTAGCAAATTGATGTTTTCCTAATTATATGATTTTGTAGAGGCAAGGAATCCTGAGATACATTTTTTCAATTGAAAGATCTAAGTGCAATTATTGAATTAGATTTCCTGCCATCACAACATACAAAATCAGCAGTAATATATTTTTTGTATTCATTACATATCAGCAAGTTGGCATTTGTTATACCAATAAACCTGGGTACTAATTTATGAGCAGAGCAAAGCTCTAGGCTTGGCTCAAAAGCTAGCAATGTCTTGTTCTGCTTACTCATCAGTATCCTGGACTTCGGATTGTGTGCATGCATAAATTTTTTAATGATTGTGAAATGCATCAGGAACACTTGAAAATTTTTAACTAAATTAAATTAGTCAAGCTACAAAGCAAAATAACTTTCCAGCAAGATTCTTAGTGAAGGCACTTATGTCATCAAAATAGCAATTATGTAACAGCAAATAGCCAACATTTCAAGATGATTGTGAGTTTTTACTCACATGCATCACAGCACAATAGCAAATATCCAACAGAGAATATTCCTAACAAAATAATGAAATGATCTTACCATGCATTTGTTATCAACCATGAGTTTTAACAAATACATAGCATATGATATAACCTCCGGAAGCAAAAGGTTTGAAACTAAGCAGTCTCCAACTTACAAACTGCAATGACAGTGTACGTGTAACCCAGTGCACCAAATGTCTCATCGCTCACTTTTGCAAGTGTTCCCAAGCACACACCAGCAAGACATAGGATAAGAAAATCGACTCCTTGTATTCTAGCTTCCCGAAGACGCTGCTTGCCAACCCTGAACATGAAGAGATAAGCATCAAAGGTATAAGGTGAATACTCTACAATAGAACAGATTGCAGTTATTGTAACATTCTGGAGCAGTAAGTTGGTCATA